TGAGAGGCTTGTGGCGGGGGGTACAGGCCCAGGGAAGAAGAGGGAGGGGGGTGGAGATCTTTTTTAAAGGTTAAAAAAATCATTCAATTTTATGTCTTATAGGGCTTATACTGAGTTCAATATTATATAAATGTATTAACTCAATTGTGAAACTAGAAACTTGCACCCACTGTGAAAGAGATGTACTCTTGCTTTTGGGTGTGTTATTGAATATGTTAAAGTTTTGTAATGAAATGCTTCTTCTAATCATGTAGTTATTAAAAATTAAAAAAATAAATGATTAAAAAAAGAAACAAAAAAATAAAAAAATCATCATCTAGGATAAAGAAAATGGAAAACAGAGAAGACAAAGGTTAAAAAAAACAAAAAACCCTTTTGTTTTTTATTTATTTTAATTTTATGTATACAAGTATTTTGCCTGCACGTGTGTATGTGCACCATGTATGTGCCTATTGTCCACAGAGTCCAGAAAAGGGCATCTCAGATCCCCTGGAACTTGAGTTACAGAAGGTCGTTTGTTACTGGCCATGTGGGTGCTGGACACTATATACAAGCCTTTTACAAAAGCAGTAAGTGCTCTTAACTGCTGAGTCATTTCTCCAGACCCAAGGAAAAAACTGAAAATCAAAATATTTATTGTGGAGGAAATCATAACCTACATAGTTAAAAGTGGTGTCATCAATGAGAAGTCTGAGATGCTTTGTAAAGATTGATTATTCTTATGTTTAAACTATCAAAAACAAAATCACCCAATGATTTTGAGTTACAGTACTAAAACCTGTTACCTGATAACTTCATTGTAGTAGATCTCATAGGGATCAATGAGAGAAAAAAAAAATCAGTGAACTTGTTTTGCATGTGAAATGTTAAAATTTTTAGAGTCAGAAAGTCCTTATAAAATGCCCTAATTTACTAATCACAGCAACCAGAGAGAAGCCTCAAGCCATCCAAGCATTGAGTTGCAAGAACTGAGGCTCCTGGCCCTCTTGACTTCCACCTTCATCTTATTTCTTCAGCAAATGCCTGAAGGTCAGGGAAGAGAAGCACACACAGAGCAGGATCTGCACTGACGGGTTCATCAGAAAAGTAATACAGTTGTGCATCCCATACCTGATCCTGGATACTGGAAGACATTCTGCTGCATCTGAGGATTGATTCCAGTACTAAACTGTCCTCCCATGTTTCCTGCCATGCCTCTGTTCACCATGCTGCTGCGGGTGGCTAAGGATGCTTCAGGATTTGCTGCGAGTTGAGAAAAGGGGCTGGTAGAAGCTGGCGGGGTTCCTGGGTTTGTACCATAGTTTGGTGGGTAGGGGAATTGCTGTGGAGCACCCTGAGGAAGACGGGGATTCCCCATTTGAACTGGCAGTCCAGATGAGGGAGGGAGGTTGTTCCCAAAGCTTTGCTGCCTCATGAGCATGGCTCTTTGCTGTATTAGCTGCCTCTGTCGATGCTGCTGACTGTACAACTCCCGCTGACGCTGTGCCAACATTTGAGCATTCAGGGGTGGCTACAAAGGAGGAAAAAACCCTCAGTTATTAAAATCATTATAATTAACTACCTATTCTAGAAAGCATATATGATAAAGCCTGGTAGCCTCGGGCAAAATAAAACATGTAGCAATCAACAAATTACAAAGGAAATCAAAATAGAAAAGAAAAACATTTAAAAATATTTTATTTATTATTTTTATTTTATGTTTATGAGTGTATTGCGTACATGTAGGTAGGTGCACCTGTGTCATGCAATGCCTGCTTAGGTCAGAAAAGGATGTGGGATTCCCCTGGAACTAGAGTTAAGGATGATTGTTAGCCACCATGTGGGTGTTAGGAATTGAACTCAGGTCCTCTGCAAGCATAGTCAGTGCTCTTAACTGCTGAGCCATCTCTCCAGCCCCAGGAAAAACTTTTAAAGAAATAATTACAGGAGAAAAAAAATGTATCAACTACATTTTATAGGCTAAAAGCTCAAAAATGCTGACATAAATAATCTATTATTTTTCAAATAAAAATTCCAAATTAAAAGTAAAAAAGAACTACCTGAGAAAAATCAAAGAAAGTATGTGTTAATTAGTTTTGTGATATACAGCAAGAAAACTGTTAAGAGAAATACAAAAATTGTAAGGAAGTAGAAGAAAATGTCCCTGATGACTTTCATTTCTAAATGTTTACTGCAGTTGTAGATGGAAAGACATAGTCTTCCCCCTTTGACACTGGTACCATTACTACACTTTATTTAAGTGAGTAAAATATAATTGAAAGTGATACTGATTTTTTCATTATACTTTTCTTGTATTTCCCAAATTATAATCAACAGGTATTACCTTTATGCTTAGAAAAATTTATAAGCCATTAAAAAGGAAAAACTAGAAATCTAAGATTCAATGCCTAACAAATTATCATTTAAAAAGAAAACAATTAACTAGAAATAAAATAGTCAGCAGAAGTAAATGGAAACAGCTATTTTATACCATTATGCATCATAATAATACTCCAGGCATTAGCATAAGTGGCTTAATAGCTACACCATTATGGAGGAGGAAAGAAATGATAAAATTAGGTTGAAATCACTTTTCAGTTTCACATGCAAAGTAGCATGGCATGTCAATAAAGCCTTTTTCAGATGCCAATTCAGAGTGAGGATCTGACTGAAGCATATATATAGCTCCCTTAAAATGGAATCTGCCAACTGGACTTCTACTTTGGAAGAAACTGAAATATGGCTTTCTGACAGAAATCATGTGAATTGTTATAGTGGGGTCTTGTTTCCTTACAACTTAATTTCTCCTCAATGCAATCCAAAAGTGAGATTTACAACTTAAAGACTGAGAAACTCAAATTTGGACTCAAGAAGGTAACAGTATCTGCTGCTTAGCAGTGGTCTCTGTCAATATTACCCCTTTGCTTAGTGGTGGCTTCCTATATTTGCCCAAAGTTTATCAAGGTTCACTTAATGAAGAAGAGTTTTGTTTGAATCATCTCTAAAATTCTTTGTCTCTCAAAGGTTTACTTGAACTTGGTTTAATAAAATATAAATTGCTGAAGTAAAAATATTAGAGTATATGTGGAAATGAATATTACATAGATATCATTGAGAAGGCCGTCCAGGATTTTTTTGGGGGGTTATCTTAAACTTGTGATTCTCCTCCCTCAGCCTCCCCAGTGCTAGGATTACTACATCTGGCTCCATCCAGTTCTTTAAAAAAATTTTTTTTTCATATTTTATTATTTTTATGTGTATGTGTGTATTGCCTGTATGTAGGTAAGTGCACCCGTGTCGTGCAATGCCTGTGGAGGACAGAAGAGGCTGTCGGATCCCCTGGAAATAGAGTTACGGACAGTTGTTAGCTGCCATGTGGGTGCTGGGATTCAAACCCGGGTCTTCTGCAAGAACAGTCAGTGTTCTTAACCACTGAGCTGTCTATCCAGCCCCCAGTTCTTCTTAAGAAAAATACTTTATTTATTCATTTTGGAAGTAAGGTCTCACTACATAGCCCTACTTGGCCTGGAACTTGCTATGTAAACCAGGCTGGCTTCAAACTCATAGAGATTCTTATCTCCTGCCTCTGTCTCCCAAGGGCTAGGTTTAAAGGGCGCACCGCCATGCCTGGCCTTATTATTATTTTTACTGATTTTCTGAAAATTTTATATATTTTAATAATATTTAGACCCCCTTCCTATCTATACCCCTGCTGTAGCCTTCCCCCACTGGATTTCATGCACTCTGTCATATATATATATATATATATATATTAAGGCCTATCAAGACAAATTTGTGTCCTCAAATGTCCTTTGGTGTGGGTCCATCCATTTGAGCCTGGCTAATTTATCTAGCATCATACCCTTAAAACTGACTCTCCTTCTCCAAACAGTTATCTGTTGCCAAAAGTTTCTCAGCTAAGGTTGGGGCTTCTTATACACTTCCCTACTTCTATGCTGGGATTTTGCCTGGCTTGAGCTTCTGTGTGTCTTGTACATGATGCTGTTACCATTGTTATGAGTTCATATGAATAACTTCTCAGCTGTCTGAAAAACTGTTTTTCCTTGTCGTTACCCACCACATCTGGCTCTTATAATCTTTTATGCCTCCTCTTCCTCAACAGTCCCTAGGCAGAGATTTGATATAGGTGTTCTATTCAGGAATAAGCATTCTGTAGTTTGGTCAGTTGTGGCTTTCTGGGTTAATCACCATCTCTCACATAAGAAAGCTTTCTTGTGAGAATTGAGAGATGCATTACTGGTCTTTCTGCCTCATTCTGTTATGTTCTCTGAGCCTTAGGTGTTTTGATTACATTGTAGATGTGTCACTCTAGGAATGGGCACTTCACAGGCACTTTTTCTCTGCAGTTTGACCAGTTGTAGAACTTTGTAATACATCTGGTGCATAAAAGAAGCTTCTTTGGTGAAGGTTGAGAGGTACACTTCTCAAGCTAGCCAGGGGCTCTGAGGCAGTGGGAACCGGCCTAGTCCCAGAGCAGGAAGATGGTGATTGATTGGCCTTAAGGTTTTTATTTTATTTTATTTTATTTTATTTTTGTGTGTGTGTGTGTGTGTGTGTGTGTGTGTGTTTATGCCATAGTGGGCATTTGGAAGTCAGAGTACAACTGTGTGAAGTTGATTCCTTCCACCTTTGGATGGGTTCCAGGGAACTGAGGTTGCCAGGCTGCAAGGCAAGTGTCTTTACCTGATGTGCCTTCTTGTTTACCCTCATTCAGTTATTTTTAAGTGTAAAGTTCTAATGACTCTTAAGTTTACAAACAAGGATCTTTAAAATAAATAAAACCTAGAAAATACTGCTTTTCAGGCTGATCAGGGTGCACAGGATACTTAAGACAGCTTAGCAATGTTACTGTGTTTTGATCAGGTTTTAGGTCCCATTTACAATGCTTCAGGTCAGAAGCTTCTTATTATTGGTGCAATTCAATGCAGCAATTAGTTTTCTACCTAGTCAACTAGAATCGTGTAACAATGACAAGAATAACAGTAAAATGAAACCCAGAACCTGGCTTTAGATCAAATGTCAGAAACAGACATCACAAGTAGGCTACTAATTCATCTAGAAGCAAGCTACACTACAAATATTAACAGATGAGCTTCCAGGCCATGTCAGAATCACTCAAGTCAACACTAAGAAACACCACTTGAGCTAGAGAAGCTTTCCTAATGCCTGGCTTCTGAACATTACCTGAGGTGTAATTTGTTGTTGCATGCCTGATCTCATGTTGATACCAACAGGAGCAGTTGCTGCAAACTGATTCAGGATAGCTTGCCGGTTTTGGTGTATCAACTAAGGTAAAGAGAGACAAGGAAAGATCACATTTCTACAGGCAAACATGGCATGGTCTTATAAAGTAAAAAACAACTTTATTGATTACTAAAAAGTTTTAGGATTGCAGGTTTAGTAATATCTCCCATGTTTATTTATCAAAAGGCTAATAACTCCTAATATTTATCAGATAATTTCTGCATTCACAATTCTACATATAGCAGAGCATTTAGAAGTAGAATATACACATGAATATATACACAGACACACATTTAGCATATGTCTTAAAACATGTTCATAGTTACTTCAGACAAGTACATTAGAAGAGAAAAACAGCTTTGTATCTTAAAATATTATGAATAAAAAAGCAAATATAAAATAAGGGCAGTTCGGGAAAGGTCTGGGAGGTAAATGGAAAGTCGAGGTATCTGGAGGGTGTTCTCATTTGGATGCTCTATCTCTGGTAAGTACATATTCAAGGAAAATCCAAAATGATATCATTTGCCAAAGAGAATTATGTAAGAAACAAATGGTCTGAGAAGTGGATTATTTATTTAACTAGAAGTAATTACTTTAGACCCACATTTCCCAAATTGGTGTTCTAAAGAACATTGTTCTGCAGGATATTAATAGATGTGCCAGGAAAATAGCATGCTGTGCTGTAGGGAGTATTGGAAATGATGGGTTACATAAGGTGAAACACATTTATTTACTGCAGTAATTTTATGAGCCTTTAATTGGCCAAAACAGTGTGCATCTCCAAGAAGGGATAGACTGTACAATTTTTATATCATAAACCTTTTCTTCTGACTTATATTTATCAATGTGTATCTCCCAGAATAATCTGTAGAACACTGAAGTTCAGGCTACATCAGCCTAATGCTACATATCTCATAACAATGAAGTATAGCTGGAAGTAGGATTTCATTGTTAATAATATAAAGCTTAAAAGTTTCTTCTTCAATATAATTTGATAGGAATAACTTCTTCAGAGAGCTAGTAACAATAATATTAATACTGTATTATTTTGTTGTTCTATTATTGTTGCAATAATGAGAACAGAACCTAGGGCCTTGCACCTTCTAAGCAAAAACTCTACTTTCTACTTTTGAGTTTTACTGAGGGCCTGGGATGTTTCTCCCAGACTAGTTTTGAACTGCTGGGTTCCAGCAATCCTCTCCTGCCTTGGTTTCCTGAGTAGTTATAAGTATAGGCATATGGCACTGAATCCAGCTCTATGCTAGTTGATTTTTTTTTCTTTTCTTGATTTTTAATTGAATTCTTTGTGTATTTCATACAGAACAGCTCAAATAATTTTAATCATCTTTATACCTCCATCCCCACTGGCACCATCCCACAGCCCCCTCCCCCACTGGAACCCATATACTTGGTCATCCCTGTTAAGGCCCACTGGGTTGTCAGTGTCCCCAGCCATTCCCCAGTGCAATGTCTACTTGAAACAGAGTGTCCAATGTCTACTCGAAACAGAGTCCTTCCCAAGCTCCTGGGAACCTGCTCATATGGTTCTACGGCAAAGGTGTCAGCATACACAAGTCCCATGCAAACTCAGACAGACAATAACCCAGCATAGAACTGGGAAAATGAACAGCTAGTTTTTATACAGTTATTTTATCACTTATAAGTTATACAAATATATGGCTAAGTTTTATTATACTATAGAGTAGAAAGCCTATTTTTAGAAAAGAACACAAAGAGCTATGAACAGTGATTAAGTTTCTCATTAGCAAATAGCTTACCTCTTAAGTCTAGTTTCATTTTTCTGATTCACATTACATCAGAAAACAAACAGACTTTAGAGCAAAGTTTATACAATATAAATGTTTAGGTACAACTTTAAAGCATTATAGAATAGGGTAAAATACAATCATTTCAAAAATAAAGATGCTAACAGAAAGGTCAAAAGGACTCTTAGTATACAAATCTAGGTACTTACTAAACTCAAAAGAGCATGGATGTAAGTTTAAATAAGCCAAGTTAATTTCACAAATATTTATTGAAAAAAGTATATTCAGGGATAGTGAGATGGCTCAGTGGGTAAAGGACCCACATGATGGAAGGAGAGAACCAATTCCCCCCAAGTTGTCTTCTGACCTCCATATGTGTACCATCTCCTAAATAAACAAATATAAAAAAAGCTACAGGCTCATGGTGGCTGAAAGTAAAATAAGTATAGATCTATAGAAAATGATTTTTTTTGGTCTTTTTGAGACAGGGTCTCTCTGTAGCCCCAGCTGTCCTGGATTCACCATGGAGACCAGGCTGGCCTTGAACTCACAGAGATCCACCTGCCTCTGCCTCCTGAATGCTGGGATTAAAGAAGTGCACCACCATGCCCAGCTAGAAAATGATTTTTAAAATAAAAAAACTGTATTTGAGATACTGTCTAAAATTTGGAGGCCACACAGAGAGTGAGTTCCTTTTGGGAATTTCCTGATGAGTGGTGGAGGCCAATATATAGCACTAGAGGGCTCAAATGTGATACCTACATGTATGCAGAAGAACATGAAGGCAGTGGCCAACAGAATGAGTGAGCTCAATAGTGTCTCAAATCATGAGAATGTTAAGTGGCAAGAAGGATGGCAGAGTTAACTTGAGGTAAAAGCAACAGCAGTATGACCACAAGGGAGAGAGCAACAACATATGATATTTCAATAGCACTGAGCGATGAAGAGATGGAAACTACAGAGGGAATGCAAGTTGGAACCCAAAACTTAGAGTGTTATATATTTTTAACCATTGTGAGATAGATACTGTGAGAATAAAATGGGTAAAGAGAAAACAGATACTTGAGATGTAGTAATCATTAGTTTTTAAAAGTAGGAAGGGTTATTTATCTTAAATAGCAGAAATCTATAAACAGTTTTTTTGTATGTGGGAGGGGGACAGTGTATGGTGCAGGCTTATGCATATACAGATATCAAAGCAAGACAAGAGGTGTTTTCCTCCTTGGCTCTTTACCTTATTGCCTTGAGATAGGGCCTCTCACAGAAGCAGAAGCTTACCCTTTAGGCTAGGCTGGCTGTCCAGCAAGTTCTCAGGATCCTGTTGTCTCTGCCCACCCCCAATGCTGGGGTTATAAGCATGGCCTGCTTTTTGCATGCCTCCTGGAGTTTTGTTCTCTAGTGAGTCTCTCTACATATCTGGATGTTTCTGGGCTATCATTTTCCAATAGGTAGAACAGTCTCTGCTTAAGATGGTTCCACACTGTTTTATTTCTGAAGCAAGCTTTTTGGCAGGTATGTCCAATCTGCAGCCCATGGGCCACACGTAGACAAGGACAGTTATGAATGTCGCTCACTTATAAAGATCCTGGAAACTTTAAAAATTTTCAGATCTCTTTGCTATCTTTCTTGTAACTCAACTGTGTGGTTCTTAGGTATGAACAATGCCATGTCATAATGTAAAAAGGTTGGACATGTCTAGACCTTGATACCTGGTACAGTAACTTTTATCTTCATTTCTTTTTAAGACTTATTGATACTCTAAGATAAATTTAGCATCTATTTGTCAAATTTCACATTGAGACTTTTAAGGAAATCCACTGAATTTATCAATTACTTTGAATGCCCATCATTTTATAACAGATTTTCAATTTATGAATATCTTTTATTTGTATCTTTGTAGTTTCCAATTACAAGTTATATTTTTAAAACTTTTTCACATTTTAAACTTTTTAAACATTGTGACTATATTTTGAAATTATATTTCTTAGCTGGTTGCTGCTAGATAAAAGCTTTAATATTAATTTTTTATTTGTTTATATGAACACTTGGCTGACGTTCTTGTGGATTCTCTTGGATTTTCTTTTTAATAAGTATTTTTGGTTTATTTATTTTTATGATATATGTATGAGTGGTTTGCCTACATGTCTGTAAATGTAACATGTGCATGCATTGCCCATGGAAAAGAGGGCATTGAATCCCCTGGAACTGGAGCTAAGCATAAGTGTTAGCTGCTGTGTGGGTGCTGGGAACTGAACCTGGGTCCTCTGGAAGATCAGCAAGTGCTCCTAATCACTGAGCAATCTCTCCAGCCCCTTTCTTGGATTTTCTACAAAGGCAGTCATATTACCTGAATACAATTTTCTTTCTCAGGTTTGCTTTCTGTATTTTTTAAAAATATTTTTATTATTTTTATTTTATATGTATGAGTGTATTGTCTGCATGTATGTGAGTGGACCTGTGTCATGCAATGCCACAGAGGTCAGAAGAGAGCTTTGGATTCCCTTGGAACTGGAGTTAAGGACGGTGTGTAGCTGCCACGTGAGTACTGGGAATCAAACCAGGGTCCTCTGCAAGAGCAGTCAGTGCTCTTAACTGCTAAGCTATCTCTCTAGCCCGCTTTCTGTATTTTAAACTGAGGAACATTTTTAGTATACTTATGGTATTTTCTTTTTATTTTTTATCTATATTGACATGAATTGATGAATCTAAAATATGGCAGAACAAAGCCTTCTATTTGATCCAATTATTAATTTAACTTTAAATAATATATTTAAAATTGTTGACTTAACCAGGTACTGTTATTATTAACCCACAGCTGTTACTCTCCTTTTCATTCTTGATAACAGAATAGGATTTTGCTTAGCTGACCATCCAAATCACATGACTGAAGGGGTACTCATGAGTACCTAATTACTACTTATCAGCAATTGGTTAGAGATGTACATATGACTGAGTTCATGACAGCCAAATATGTTTAGTCCTCTTTTACGTGGGTGGAGAAGGGATGGGTGGATAAAGAGGAGCAGTCTATAAAAAAGTTTCCTGGCTTTTGAAAATAAATACATAAGAGTCCTTTTTCTCTTGTTAAATATAGGGGTTTTTTGGCAAGTGGTATTTGTACTCATAATATGCCACAAATTATAGGGTAAAAATGAAAAAGAACTCAGATCCTTGATACAGCTCCCTACCTGCTGTTTATATAATCCTAAATATTTACAGTATTACATCAGTTTATTTCCTACCACTCAAGAGGTTTAAATCATTCACAACTCCTAGGCCCTCAAACTTGTATCCTTCTTTCATTCTAATAGAAGATCACTAGATATCAATCTCACCAACTTCAAACAACATAAATTTTATTTTGTTCCAATAATCAATGGTATCTCTCATTCTATTTTGTAAATTAAGCTATATTTCTCTTTATTAATTTAGCAATTACTTGATATCCAATATAAAACTAGTTCCTATTTCAAAAATTAAAAATTATATTGCTAGCTGGGCGTGGTGGCACATGCCTGTAGTCCCAGCACTTGGGAGGCAGAAGCAGGCGGATCTCTGTGAGTTCAAGGCCAGCCTGGTCTACACAGTGAGTTACAGGACAGCTGGGGCTACAGAGAGAGACCCTGCTTCAAAAAGACAAAAAAAAATCATATTGTTTATAAGGAGTAGGTTTCAAAGTACTTTGCTGTAAGTCAGCTTCCTTTAATGAAAGGTTCCCTTATGCCTATCCAATCAGACCCAGGATGGTTTAAAAAATTTTTTTATTCATTATTTTAATTTTATGTGTATGAGTGTATTTCCTGCACGTATGTTAGTTTCCTCTTGTGCAATGCCTACAGAGGTCAGAATAGGGTGCTGAATCCCTTGGAACTGGAGTTACGGATGGTTATTAGCTGCCATATGGGTGCTGGGAATTGAACTCAGGTTCTCTGCAAGAGCATCCAGTGATCTTCACCCCTAAATCATCTCTCCAGCACCCCAGGATGAGTTTTTGAGTCTTCCACAATGATTTTGAGAGTGGACCTGACACTTTCACTGCAGTAACTAGGTTGTCACAGAGAGCTCTGGCACAAACCTTTGGAAAGCATCAACTGCTAAAGGAGAGCACTCACCTGCTGTTGTCCCTGTAACCGCTGCTGTAGTTGAAGTCGAAGTTGGTTAGGTGCAGCTGGAGGTCTGTTGAGAGTTTGTCGGGGCTGCATGCCCATGCCGGGTGAAAAAGTGCCCCTGGGAGGTGTTACCTGAACAGGCATAGTCCCCAGTGAAGGCTTCTGCCTGACCATGCCTTGGAAAGGGCTAGGGAGGCTGGCAGTAGGAGAAGGAGATGAGTATGGCTGGGAATAGAGGGTGGGTCTTTCTTCCATCATCAAAGGTGGTGTTGCTTGTTGTGGTGGAAATCTCTCTGATAATACATCTAATCCTCCCCCCTGTTAGGAAAAAAAGCCAAAATATTTTATAAAAATAAATGGCAATAAATGAGATGTATCTCTATATAAATTTGGAACTGAAAGCAAATTATCTCTGGAAAGTTTTATCGTAACATATTCATTCTGAATTCATGCTCTATAGAAGCTCATCTGAAAGAAATCATTTATGACAGTTGTTTTTGAATGGAATGATAAATTAACTAAGATGTTTTAAGTCTAAGTAGGGATTAAAAATACGGTTAAAAGGTCCTAAATCATGAAATGAAACTTTACAAGTTTGAAGAGTTTCACTGCAAAACCCAAGAAACAACAAACTTTATATATATTTATTATTGTGTGTGTGTGTGTGTGTGTGTGTGTGTGTGTGTGTCTTTTCACTGTAAAACCCAAGAAACAACAAACTTTATATATATTTATTATTGTGTGTGTGAGTGTGTGTGTGTGTGTGTGTGTGTGTGTGTGTAGTGTATGTGTGTATATGCTCATGTCTTGGGGAGGCAAAGGCCAGAGGAGGACATTGGGTGTCCTATTCTATCACTCTCCATCTTATTCCTTTGGGACAGGCTCTCTCACTGAATCTGGAACTAGGCTGCTGGCTACCAAGACCTAGTGATCCTCCTGTTTCAACTCCCCATGGCATTGGGGTTACAGGCATGGACATTACTACATCCAGCTTTTTATATGGGTGTTAGAAATTCAAACTCAGATCTTTAGTTTGAGCAGCAAGTGCTCTTACCCACTGAACTATCTCCCCAGCTCCAAATTTTATGTTTAATAGGGTATCATTAGAGGAGGAGTCCTAAAAAGGAAGCAATTAGACATTTTTCTATTTCAAATATAGAATTCATGATTTTTTCTTATTTGGAAAAAACCCTATAGATAATGTAAGAGAAGATTTATAGCTTTCAAACATTTTAATTATTATCTAATATATTTTAAATTATGACCTGATATGTGCATGCATAACTGAAAGGAGAGTTTTATGAAATAAATGTCCCCATTTTATGGGTCACACACTCTGGCACTTTGCATTCTAGCCTCTTCTCCATTTAAAAATTGCTGGTCATGATGCATTACATTTCTTTGATAACTTCATAATCCAAAAAAAGTCAACCAGAAAGTCAGAGTGTCATAAAATATATTAAAATTTGTTGAAGATCAGTATGAATGATGGATAAAGCCCTAAAATAACAAGTGATGATATAAATCTGAATTCTATCCTAGATGGATTTTTAAGATTTTGTATCATAGCGAAAAACTAAAGCTTCCTAATTCAAAGTATTTGTAATTCTGATTACCATACTTTTTATTTAAAAAGGTCATTATTCATTACATATTTTGATAACTTGTATAAGGTATAAATTATAGAACAGCTAAAACAGTAGGAAAATGCTGAAGAAGACCTTTTTTGAAAATTACTTTCTAGTGTCTCAGGGCTACAATCTATAGTAAATACCTGAACAAGTTTGTCAATTCCCAGGGCTCTGTCCAGTTCAGCCAGCTCAGTTTCATCTTTGCCACTGAGGAAGGACACTAGTTGTTCCAGAAGAGCCTTCTCATCATTTCTTCCTTCTACTGTTGTTGGTGGACAGAGAAGCTCATCTAATTGTGAAGTAATACATTGGCTACAGGATCAAAAGATAAGAAAGGTAGGAAAAATGATTCAATTTTAAGAATACAAATACGCACATACAATATGTGCAAATTTGGTTCTACAAAATTCTGTTACAATGCTATCAATGAATTTTAACGCAATGAAATGTTCTACACGTAATGTGTAAAAATTCTAAGAGCATTTATTTCGGTGTGTGTGCGTGTGATGTTTGTACATAAGCATGTGTGTACTCAGGTGTCCACTCCTGTGTTTGCATGTATGGAGGCCAGGGGTCAATGTCGGGTGCCATATTTTCTGAGAAAGGGACTCTTATTGAACCTGGAAACCAACTGGCTAGACTGGTTGGCCAGTGAGCCCCTCGGATCCTCCTGTTTCTGACTCCTGGAGCTGGGATTATAGATGTTTGTTACTATACCTGGTATTTAAATAGGTGATGGGATCCAAATTCAGGCCCTCATGCTTGCATAGCAAGCAGTTTACCCACTGAGACATTACCCCAGCCCACAAAGAACATTTAATGCATAGCTTGAATACAGTCCATCTTTTAATCAACCACTGAACTTTGGATCCATATTCTTCATGTTGTCTTACAGAAATATTCTGAAAAATGAACCAAATATAATTATGAAAGAGGAAGTAATTTTTTTTTGTCTTTTTGACAAAAAAAGACTGTCTTGTTTTGTCTTTTTGTCCCTGTAGCACCAGCTGTCCTGGAACTCACTATGTAGACCAGACTGGCCTTGAACTCACAGAGATCCACCTGCCTCTGCCTCCCGAGTGCTGTGACTACAGGCGTGTGCCACCATGCCTGGCTCTGGAAGTAATTTTTTAAAAAATATTTTATTATTTTTATTTTATGTGTATGAGTGTATTACCTGCATGTAGGTAAGCACCCATGTCATGCAGTGCCCACTGAAGACAGAAGAGGCTGTCGGATCCCCTGGAACTGGAGTTATGGACAGTTGTTAGCTGCCATGCTGCTAAGCCATCTCTCCAGCCCCAAGAGGAAGTAATTTTTAAAAAGATTTATTTATTTTATATATCTATGTGTGTGCCTGAGTGTACATATGTGCACCATGTGTGTGAAGGTGCCTGCAGAGGCCAGAAGGGGGCATCGGATCACCTGGAACTTGAGTTACAGGCAGTTGTGAGCCATCTGATGTGGGTGCTGGGAACTGACCTGGGTTCTCTGAAAGAGGAGCAAGTGTCCTTAACCCCTAAGCCACTTCTCCATGCCTGGAAAATGTTTTTAATAAAAGTAAATAATCAAAAAAAGTAAATAATCATTTAACATATTTCCAGATTTATTCGTGTGTGTGTATATGTGTGTGTGTGTGTGTGTGTGTGTGTGTGTGTGTATACCAGAGGTCAAGACTGTATTCCTCAATCACATCTCCATCTTACTTTTTTGAGACAGGGTCTCTTACTGAACCGGGAGCTCTCAGATTTGGCTAGACTAGCCAGCAGGCCTTAGGAATCCTCCTGTCTCTGTCTTCCCAATGCTGGAATTACAGAACTACAAATAAATGTAGGTGCTGGGATCTAAACTCAGGTTCTCATGCTTGTGTGGCAGTACTTTACCAAACAAGCCATCTTGCTAGACCCTTAGATTTATTCTTACCCTATTTATTGTATGGATACCATTAATTATTGGTAACTGAATCGTAATCAAAACAGTACATTTATTTTACTTAACTTTGAAAGATGACCAAATTATACTGATAACATGATGTGTACATAATATACAAAATAAATTGAAAAATGTAATATGCTATCAGCAACAAATTGTTCATTGATTCATGTAGAAAACATATACCGTAATCCAAACTGATATTAGTTGATGTATAAAACTTAAGACATATATAGAAAATAACAGAAATACAATGACACCATCATATAACTAAGAATTCTTCTGGGAAGATAAAAGGAGAAACAGTCCAGTTGATGTTTTAGACTGTCTTCAACATACTATGTATCCTTCCTTTGATTGCCATGTATGAGAGATAGTCTGCGTTATGAAATACAGATGCCTATGTGAATTAAGAAATACAATTCAAATCAAAATGGACTACTGAGCAGATGTATTTTCTTACCATATGCATTCTTGATCCAAACAGACAAATGACAGACAAAATCATCATATAGCTAAAGCTTAAAGGGAATACAACTGGTATAGTAGGGCCAATTTATCAACAGGTCCCAGGAATATTATAGTAATCAAAGCAATGAAACAGATGAAAGACAAAACAATAGTTGTACACCATATCAATCTTTTGGTGATTACTATGTATACTTGCTTGTGGTCATATGGCAAATAAATCTGCTCGATTTGCTAAAATGTGTCTTCCCTTATCCCTGTCTCTTGAATGAAATATTTACACCAACTTATAGCTCAAAAATCCTAGTGCAGACTGGACTCCAATTTGGCAAAACAGTTCTTGGTTTATAAGTTGATATCTGATACCTTATAAAATACAAAGTGTATTACTTACTCTTCTGGCTTGTTCTGATTTACAGTTGTCACAGCATTATTTGTCCATGGAATCTGATCGCCAGTTCCGGGTTGTGTAAACTGGTTATCAATTGTTTCTAATTCTAGTTCAGGCAATCCTGATTAAAGAAGAAAAGTTCATTATCACGAGGATAAAATAACATTTTCAGAAGTAACACATTACAAAGTAGAGTGAGATTTTCCTTACAAACTATTACTTCAATGACACAAAGAGAATTTATTCAGAAACTCAAACTGGAAGGTGTCCACATATAATAAAGGCAAATGAAAAAGTGAGAGAGAACAGACTTCTGAACCAAAACAAATATAGTGTTGCTTGCACCGTAAGCTGACACCACTATGGGAAAAGCAAGGACTCTGTCAGATATTACTTATTTTAAAGATAAACATAGTAATTCTGGTTATCTGCCTTTTCAGTCTATATCATGTTAGATTATGCTCCTAAAGGTAGGAACAGCAACACCAACATGAAACGAGTGCAAGCAATCAAAAGATAAAACACATCTACAAAAGGCAGGAACAGAAAGAGAAAGGCAGTGTAGTCTGAGGCTTTTCAACAAACAGGCAGAGCTCTGAGAGGATAGCTGTATAACTACAGTGTTACTCAGGCCTCCAAGACTCAAAGGCAAGAGGTTGGACTGTGTTTTGTAACTGAAGAAAGGAATACACACAGTTTAGAAAAATTATCTGTAGCAGCTTTTTGAAAGTGGTACAATTTCATCTCTGAATTAGTTATACTAGGAAAAATTAAAATAACCTAAATTCCAGAAAAATCAGTGATGAATTAATGAATTAAGAGACAGAAATCAATAATGCATTATTAAAAGAGAAAAAAGCATGTTCTAAGACATTAGATTAGAACAGGTAGATTCTGTTCTTATAAAATCATACATATGGATAGAAAGAATTCTAGGAGGCTCTTATATATCTTCTTGGTTCATTTTAGGCAATAAGAATCTTTTTCTTTTGATAATGATTATTTGTAATTTCTACAATGACTACATAAATGAATTGATCATCATTATAGGCTAAATTGTGTCCTCTCCTCCTAATTCATATGCAGATGTACTAATATCCAGTACCTCAAAACATGACTGTATTTGAAGACAGGACCTTCAAAGAGGTGATGCATTTCAAATAAGCCATTACAGTGAGCTCTAATCTAATCTAATTAGTGTCTTTTTAAAAGAAGAGAAGATGAAGATAACACAGAGAGGAGGTGGCCATCTCTAACCCAAGGGAAGAGACTTCAGAAGAAACCACACTGATGACACCTTGATCTTTGACTCCTAGCATCCAGAATTGTAAGAACATAACCTGTGGGGCTTTGTTACAGCAGACCTAGTTAACTAAAACAATAATTTTGTGTGTGTGTTTTTTTTTCAAAGCTAAACTGGTCTTGGAGTTTGCTGTTCTTTCTGTAGTAGGGATTAAAGCCAGGGCCTCATGGATATTAGGCAAGCCACTCTATCACTGAGTTATATACCCAATCCAGGCCCTGTAGTTTTAAGTGAAAACTCAGAATTTCACATTCCAGCTGGTTGTGGTGGCATACTCTTGTAATTCTAGCACTCAGGAGGCTGAGGCAGAAGTACTGCCACAAGTCTGAGGCCCATCTGAGCTGCACGTGGATTCGAGGCCAGCCTGAGAGACCTAGAGAGAACCTGTCTCAAAACAAAAATAAGGTAGGCATGGTGGCTCATGCCTTTAATCCCAGCCCTTAGGAGGCCAGTCTGGTCCACATGTGACTTCCAGGCCAGCTTGGGACTACAGAGACTCTGTCAACAACAACAACAGCAACAACAACAAAATAACAACAACAAACCCCATTCTAATGATGAATGATTGTATTAGATCTGAATGAAGTCTGAAAAAAAATAGCAAAATATGTGTGGATCACTTTCATGTGACATATGTTCTATTCTTTTTTTGGTCTTTTTGAGACAAGGTCTCCCTATAGCCCCAGCTGTCCTGGAACTCACTATGTAGACCAGGCTGGCCTTGAATTCACAGAGATCCACCTGCCTCTGCCGCTCAAGGGCTAGGATTAAAGGTGTGCACCACCATGCCCAGCATATGTTCTATTCTTAACATAAATAAAAATAATAGGAATCCACATAGATATTTACTTCTATTTTATTTGGTGTGAATGTGTGTGTTGTATGTACATGAGAAGGTGCACTCATCTGTGCATATGCATGTGGAAGTCAGAGGTTGACTTCAGGTGTCTTCCTCTCTACTTTTTTTTTTTTAAATAGAGAAACCTGTACTTTATTGCTGATGTACATGAAGATCTAAGATTGTCATGGCCAACAAGGAGAGCCAAGGTATTGCTGACAGAAGACGAACCCATTCTCAACTGTCTTCTGGAGATCAGAAATAGCGTTGGGCTCCATCTTAATCTTGAAGCAGAGATGGTCTTGGGTACCAGTTGTTTCACTGCTGTGTAGTAATGCTTCCTGATTTTTCTTATATTTGGCTCTCTTACTTTTGAACCAAGACTTCACTTTACGATCATCGACATCAATGAGCTCAGCGAGCTGTTTCCTTTGCTGCACATCAGGATGCTGATTTTCTTGGAAAACTCTGTCCAGTTCTACCTTGTTTTTTAAGATACTGTTTTTCACTGGGCCTGGAGCTCACCATTTTGACTAAACTGGCTGGCCAGCAAGCTCTAAGTCTTCTGTCATCTATATTCCAGTTATGGGGTTATAGATGCATGTCACCATGCCTGGATTTTGCATGTGTGCTAGGGATCTGAACTCAAGTCCTCATGCTTGCATAGCAAGCACTTTATCCACTGAGCCATCTCCCAAGCCTGGCATTTACTTTTAAATGCATATAACTATATTTTTCAATTAAACTGATGTATAATCATGACAAAGAATAGAAAAACCAAATTCTACAGGATTCTGAAAAACCATAACAAAACAATCTAAAATCATACTAATGGGAAGGTAGTCACTTAATTCTTATCATTATTTAAGTCAGGAAGGTGGTCAAAGATTTCCTAAAGTTGCTCTGCTCTACATACCAATTCTTCAGTGCTATCCCTTTCAAGAAATCTAGTAGTTTACTTAGGGGATGGAGAGATGGCTCAGTGGTTAAGACTGTGCACTTTTCAGGTCTAGTTCCCAGCACCTATCTTGGGCAGCTCACAAGTGATTTTAAGTCCAGCTCTAGGGGCTCTGATGCCCTCTTTTGGCCTCCACAGGCACTGCACTCACATGCACATACACACACATATACACAAGTTAAAAAAAAGTCTTAATGAAGAGTTTACTTAGTTCAATGTTAGTACATAGCACCCCATTTTACTAGTCTTGAGGGGAAATGCTAACATAATAAGATATAATATTTTCAAAATATAGCTAGGCATAGTGGCACATGTCTTAGGAAGATCCAGAGTTGGAGGCCAACCTGGTTATAGAGTGAGACCCTATCTCAAAAATACAAAAAAGAAACAGTCAAAAAATGAGTAAAACAAGATTCATGTGTTAAATTTGATGTCCAGGGAAATGCAAGTAAACAAAAAACAACAAACAAAACCCAAACTATCATCATCACTACCACAACCACCACTACAACAAAAAACCCACTTTGTTCAATTAAAATTTTCGTTTACATAGTTTGTATGCTTAAAAGAAATTGTTTTTTAGTCTAAAGGTCACTTTACTCTTTTCGGACTTCCTTCAGAAACTGCCTTCTATTAAAAAAACCTGAGTGTTTGTTGGAAATCTATGCAATATACAAGCTTTCTCTTTGGTTCATTGTCTTTTTCGTCTCATGTTCACTATTTTTGGTCATATTTATGTTCTCACCACAAACATGAATGAGTATGTCTACAGAAAACAAGACAAACAGTCATTTCTGGAGCGAGAAGTCAGCTAAAGCAGGATTAAAAAAAAGGCCCTAGAGATTTCCAATAGAGCACATATGTAATATAATATAACTAATATAATAAAAATAAATGCTCTATTACATACAGTCTGTACTCAAGTCATCCTCATGCCTCAGTATGTCAAATAGCTGGGACTTCAGATGGATACCACCCATCTCAAATTGCTATGGACTTTGAAAACAGCTCAACTTTATATTTTATTCATTTAAAATTTCAGCCAAAGGGAAATTTTATATCTCCATTAGCTACAATGAACCCAGAAAAATTTATGAAGTATTTAAAAGAAATTCTGCATACCAAGGAGAAAGCACTCTCTTAATCAGGTGGCGTTTGCCCATTTTACTATCTCCAACAGCTGATTCAACACCTTCCAATTCTCATATTCACAGTTAATTTTCTTCAGCTGTTGAAAAGGAAACTTCTGACTCAGGTTTGTGTATCTTTGGCAGTAACTGGGCAGAGCAGTTACAGTTGTTTTTTTTTTTAAAATATTAAGTAGACAAAGGTCTAATTTGTTTAGTAAATAAAAAGTTTCTATAAATTAATAAGATAGAAACCCAATAACCAAGTAGATAAATGGTCAGAGACTATGAAGAGACTGAATAAGATCATTGAAAAGTAGTCAACTTAATTCATAGTAAAAGAAGTACAATTTAAAAATTACATTGAAATATTTGAAAATAAAAACCCATCACATTGACAAAGGTGAGAAAATGTGTAACTCAAAGTATTGAGAAGGACGAACAGAAATAGGATCAGCCGTGCCATAATTTGTGAGATTATTTAGTACCGTATACATCTATCCTTGACCCAGGCATTTCTATTCAGAACTTCTATTTCAGATATATGCTCCTAAGTGATAAATTTTCTCTACATAAGATTACTCATTACAGATCTGTAATACCAAAAGATACCAATCATCAGTCAACCAGATAATTAAATTCTAACCCAAGTTTAGATATAAAAATGTACATGGGGGCTGGAGAGATGGCTCAGTGGTTAAGAACACAGGTTGTTCTTGCAGAAGACCTGAGTTTGAATCCCAGCACCCACATGGCAGCTAACAACTGTCTGTAACTCCAATTCCAGGGGATATGACCATCTCTTCTGACCTCTGCAGGCATTGCATGACACGGGTGCACTCACCTACATGCAGACAATACATACATATACATAAAATGAAAAAATAAAATATAA